GTTTTATATAAAAGTTGGTTTATGATATGTTCTGTACATAAGTATAACCCAGGGATGTGAAGGAGTTGAACCTTATATTTATGATCTGCAATCAAAATGCATAGCCGTATGCAACACACCCCTTTTTTTTCTATTGTATAGGACTCTTTAAAAGGTCAAAAAGTCTAATTCTTTCCCTTTTACTTTTTTTAATTTATCATAATATATGTAAAAAAAAGTTAGGGAACCCCTTAAGGTTCCTAAAGGAACCCCGCAGGGGTAGAAAATAAAGGTAATATACCTCTAATGTAATTCTAGTGCATCTTTAATGTATGAACAAGATAATACCACAAATACTTGTGATTGTATAAAGGCAATACCTAATTCTAATCCAGAGAATGCAATTATAAAGGCTAATGGTAGTAACCCTAGGATAAAGAAAATGATACCAGAGCTCATAATATTGTATGTAAATCCACTTAAGATATTTAAAAGCATGTGACCTGATAATCGTCCAACAACTTCATCCTTAGATTATATTATTTACTTAAATTTTTAAAGATATATACTTCAATTACGAGATGTACTATAAAGTATACAACATATACCTCAGTATTCTAGTCTACTAGTTTGAACAGATATTTCCCTTTAAAAGGTTTAGTTCTATTATCCTTTAAATATAAAGATATACTAGGTTGACGATAACCTAATGCTCTAGCAGCAGCGGTAATAGAAGAGTATATTATAACCTCTTTAGTGTCAACGTTAGTAACCTCCACTTTCTTAGAGGTTTTTTGAACCTTTTCGTTAATTATATTTGTACTTGTACTTGTGTGATCTGAATTTAATTTAAATGTATATCTACCTAAAACAGGTTTATCTTGTTTCAAGTAAATATAATGCTCAATATATCTTTTGTCTATATCTAAAGCTCGAGCTGCAGCCTTAATGGCATGATAAGTAGAAATACTATTTGTTTCCAAATCAGTTACCTCAACTTCTATTCCACTAGGTTGACCTTTAGATAATTTAGTTAAAAATTCCGGAGATTTAAATGTCTTAGAAGCAGCTATACGCATATTTTCTATGGTAGCTTCAGAATGTGTTCAACCTGATCCTCGTGAAGGACTTCCAGGTGTTTTTAATAGATTGTATTCAGGAGAGTATATTTCAAAAAAGTGTTTTTCTCTAGACATAAGACTATCTTTTTCACAAAACTCTAGAATAGTTAGACTAAAATTAGTATAACCGTACTTTAATAAAGCAACATTAATAGCCATACTTTTTTCGTTTAGCATTCTATTTACATTGTAATATTCCAAAAGTCTACGCTTTAAATCTATAGAACTTCCTACGTACTTCTTATTATTCAATTTATTAGTTCACATATAAATTCCAGATTTACCTTTAATATATTTAAGGATATCTAGTTTGTCTTTGTCTGCATCAGAGAAAACCATCAAATCAAAAGAAGAGTCATCACTTTTTGAAGTTGAAAACGCTCTCACCCCAAAAGGTATTAAACCTTTTGTAGAAAAGGCATACTTTTTAGGTGGATACAATAATCTACGCGATCTTACGCTATATAAGTTAAACCTATCATATGTGACAGATCTCTTAGTGGAATTTTTAACAAAAGATAATATAATTCGTTAACAACTTTATCCTTTCTTTAAAGGTATATATAAACTTTGTCCCCTTATTTAAAGGTGTTTATATACTTTATCCTTTCTTTAAATTATTACAGTATGATTTTACATCTTACGAAATTGCCGATTATATCTTTATTTTCCTTTTCAATTCCCTCTTTATTCTCAACTATTATGTCGATAGAGGAAATAAAAAGGAGAAATATTATAAAATGAGGATAGGCTATTGTGATAACTTTAATCTTAGGTTACTTAATTTCGCCCAAGAACCGGCTTTCCCGGCGACTAGAGTACACCTTACCATTGGTTTTACCTAATGGAAGAACCGTCTACTCGTTGCTCTTTTACAGATAGTACATTATCTATTTTAGATCCGCGATCACCCATTTCTATTACTAGAATCTCTAATGATGTTACTATACCCTCAATCATTAATGAGGCCAGGTAAGAAGTTTCCGTCTTACCTTTAGTTATTAGAGCTTTAGGGCTTCCCCGGAGTTTGGCTCTTTTACACAGTAAGAATGAGGCACCTAGTCTCATCTTTTTATGTTGGCTGCTAATCTTAATCCTAAAGATACATTTCTAGCTAAGTATGAAATGAATTCAATTAATACAAGTAAAGGTAATAATCCTAACGGGCACCCCGCTGGAACAAATAAAGAAAAGAATTTTAATCCGTGTTCTTTGAATCCTAAAACTGTTGCACCTAATACAACAGTAAAACTAAGTGAGAATGTTAATATAAAATGAGATGTTGAGGCAAAACTATAAGGACTTCTTGATAGACATATAGACATATCAAGCCGGACTATATCTTGACTGCTCTATTTAGTAATATGAGCAGCCTTTTACGTGTAGTCTCTGAGGACCCTCTAGTATACACTATTCTTTTTGTCTAAAGTATTAGTAATATCTGTTGGTTTCCTGCTGATTTTTCATTGTTTTATCTTTAGAGTTGTTACGTCTTTTAATAAATTCTACAGCCATTGTTAAATTTATTATTCATGATCGTATCTAAAGCATTAGAAATTTTCAGCATATAGTAAAATTTTACATATTATATTACCAATTATAATAAAGCGTAATTAAAAACAAAATATAAGAGTTAGACTATTTTATATATAAGACGTTTAGTTAATGTATTCTTTTACTGTTCATATTACTTTTAATTCTTTTTATATTTTCTATACCCTGCTTTGTTAAATGATCCTTAGATTTTATTAACTCGGCTACTTGACAAAAATCTAGGTAATCTTCCTTTTTAGTGCCTAGTAATGGGTATTTATTAAATAAAGATATGATTTTATTTATATCAGAAAAAGTTGAAACAGTTAAATTTACTTCATTACGGCTACAATAACATTTCCCACAACCTAAATAATTTGAAATATTATCTAATAATACTGAATCCTTAGAATGTTGAGTTATTACAAATCTTAAACTTATATTGTCTGTTGTTTTTTTGCTTTTAGATTCTTGAATAATAACCATAAAAGATCCTTCCCCTTCAACAAACCCAACTAGTCAATAAACATCTTTTATTTCTGAAATATCAACCTTTGGTCTTACTACGGGTATCAAATTAGGAAATGTTTCTTTAAATTTTTCAGATAAACCCCAATTTAATACAGATTTTATACCAACTAATGTTAGTAAACCTTTTTCAGTTAAATGTAACTTTTCCTGTATTAAATCAATAGATTGTTTAAATAACAGGTAATCTGCTAATTTTTGGGTTATTAAAGGATAATTATCGAAATGAGTTGTTATTACTCTTAAATTCTTCAAAGAACTAACACGATACATAAATGAATCTTGACCATGTTTATATATTTTACCTACACCCCATGTTTTTTGTAAAGCTTCTAAGATTTTTAGATCTTTTTTATGTAAATTAAGTTGAAATATAGGTTTAACTTGTCATCCTGTTTTCATTCTACAATCTTTATAGATAGATGTTGTAAAACAACCCTCTGCATCTACAAGACCTGTAATATAATAAGGGTTAAGATAATAGGTGTTATTAAGGTTATATCTAGGATATTTAGAATTATTTGAAGAATATAGTCTGATACTTTTGTTTTTTAAATTAGTTAAGCTAAATGTTTGGGTAATATATATATGTAGGCTCCTTTTAACCTTTCCATACAGAGTGCAATAGGAATAATGCATAATAATTATAAACAAGATAATGGTTATAAATAAGATAATGGTTATAAATAAGATAAT